TGTAGAAAACTAAATCAACCAATTTTCAAACTCTTTCTCAGTTAGTGTTAGAATTTTTTTGAGTACACAGTAGCGTGGGCCGAAAATCCGCCTTTTTAGAATTTTGATTGGTAATAGCAAAAATATGGTTCATTATGCTCTAAAAAAATCTGTGTCAAAGATGGAAATTTTTGGTCAATATCTTAGGCTCGCCCGAGTCCATCATAGTTCAAGTGCTAAACAAATTTTTTCTTAGCTTATCTCGATTCTCTACAAAAAAGGACCGTACACCCAATTATGTAGGACTAATACTTTCGAAGATAATTGCAATTTTATTTAAAAAAATGTATTAATTAATTTTTTATTTTTTGAGCACATTGAACTTTGATGAGCCTAAGAAATTGACCAAAAATTTTCATCTTTCACACAGATTGTTTTTAGAGCATAAAGAACCATATTTTTGCTATTAAGGTTAGTATTCTGTCAACAGCCGTGAAATTTTTCCAGCAACACATATTGTTTTCACATGAAATTTTGACACAGTCAAACGTGAAGTATAAAATAAATAAATAAAAATAAATTTTCAATCAAACTGATTTGTATAGTGCAGGTAAATATTTTGGAGGCTGTTTTAATATATCCTATCTTATTATATATTTTTTAGCTTTTCACCATTCTGAGAAGTTGAGAGAATGAAGTCTAATATTATTTTTTGGTCAACTACGATGTTTCATTTCAATTTTTGCAATCATTAGTTCATTTCGCTTGAGGAGTCACAATGTGCCCATACCGGCTGTACCGGATTCTTTGAAATTTCGGACACAGACTTTCCAAGCATGGTTATAGGCTAAAACAAACCGGATATCTACCGGGGGTGTGGAATCTCCCATACAAACCGAATTTTTCATAGAGCATATCTCTGGACGGTTTTGTGGTAGAGTCCTGGAACTTGGTATGAATATATGTATATGAAGTCAATCTTAAGCTCATGGAAAAATATGGGTTTATTGGAAAATGCGGCATGGCACCGTGGAATAGAGGTAAATGAAATTAATCCCAAACCTATGAAAAATTGGGGTACATATATGAAAACGATCTCGCAGCCTTTGTAAAGAGCTAGCGGTATAAGCCATATAAACTAAAATTAAAAAATGGTAACTTCTGTCAACTTCAACATAACCTCCAAATTTTG